GAATATGTTTAATACCCACATTGTTTGCTCAAACCAAACCCAAAGTTTAACAGTGTGTTATGGTCCTTACCTCACTGTAAACCTGACCTGCAGAGACCACTTCAGTTCAGACCAGTTTCATGTTTAAGTCCAGATAATAGTTTGAGTGCAGATATGTAATCCTCCATTTAGAAATGAGTCCAATGAGTTTTAAAAAGTAAAACAAAACGGGTGTCTCCTCCATAAACTCCTCTCATGTTTCGGCGCATCCAATTTCTAATATCAACCTTCTTACCCTTCACCTCTCTTCCTTATAATTCCTATCATCATATTGGAAGCATAAAATTACCCAAAGTGAATTTTAAGTGATCTTGCAATGTGTTACATGTATTTTAGCCAAACCTGTAGCAAGAAACAAGAAAGGAGCTTTCTGATGAAATTGGATGCAGCCGAATTCAGGGGGGCTCACATGCGCCCCCCTGAGGCTGGCCTCACTTGGTGACATTACAAGTCGTGGTTTGAGCGCGATTAAGACCCATATTTGTGTCAAAAACACAATTTATGACTCATCCTCTCGACTGTAGACATGCTGATTGTAAAGGAATTATGTTTGAACTTTGTAAACCTCGTTAAAGAGAGAAAACTGTTCGATATCAGCGCACTGGCTCCTGCCTCTGAACTACAGGCATTTACGTCTCCCAGCGCACCGCTCTGTCAAATATGAGAAAATATGACGAAAATCTGCTATTTCAAGGTAAAAATGAATGAAATAAGGCAAAGTTACATGAAAATAATACAATGACATAAATCACTTGATATAGTGACCAAGTATTATTATTTCCATTTTATTCTTTTTCTCTTCCCATGATCGTAGGTGAGGCCACGCCTCACCTATCTCATCTGACCGCACGTCACTGCGATGAGGGTGGACCCAGAAGAAGAATTAGCCAATGCTAACATATAGCATTGGCAGACCTCTCAAAAACGTCTTTACAGGATGGACCAAAAGTTGGCTCTTGGCCCAAAGCTTGTTCCACATGTGTGTCAATGCTGAGGGGGTGTTTTGGACCACTCTATCTTTGGACCAGACTCGCTGTGAATTTTTGAAGTCTCTCGTTCAAATGAATGGAGCTGCGCCGGCTGACGCATGCGCAGATGCGTTTTTTCACAATTTTCTTGTGGGCGGGACCACTCGCGGCCATCTTGGATTGCTCCAGTAGAGCACATTTTTTGGCCCATTAGTTAAAACGGCGGAGATAGGCGTGACTCTGTCCATTAATATATACAGTCTATGGCACATGTGTCAAAGTCAAGGCCCGCGGGCCAAATCCGGCCCGCGAATGAATTATCTATGGCCCCCGGGACATTGACCCCTTAAGCTCGCTAGCCCCCGCCGGCGGGAGCAAACGAGGAAAAAATACATCTGCTGGCAATAGCAGATGTATTTTGAACTTCATAAGCCACAAGCTATATATCATTTTAAAGCTTATTTTCTCAGCTATATTTATATGTAAGTGTAAACTATATCAGACTTTGCATTAAAAAGATATAACGCATAATATGGGCACAAAATAAATCACGTCTGTATTTGTTTTTTACCTTTCGTCTTCTACTGCTCCAACAAATTAGACTTTCCCCATCCTTGCTTAGTCGCTTTCTCTCCGTAACTGTCTATTGAAGAAGAATATCCACTTGTATTTCCCAAAGTATAATCCATTCTGCAGATTTAATCAAAAAACGCCCCGAAAAGAGGTCCAGACTGCTCTTTTACATTTCACCAAGTTTGAGCTTTTTCTTTTTTTTACTATTTTCATGTTCTCAGATGTCTATTACATCTAATATGTACAGTATGAGGATTGGCTTTAGAGCATATTTTATCGAGCCAACAGGTGTCACCGGCACTGCCTCTGGATGTTGAGAAACATTGAACCAGTCCGGCCCTCGGAGCGTAGCAAACATTTTTTTTTGGCTCTCTGATGTATTTGACTTTGACATGCCTGGTCTATGGTATAGATCAGGGGTCGGGAACCCAAAATGTTCAAAGAGCCATAATTGACAAAAAAACTAAAAACAACATCTGTCTGGAGCCGCAAAAAAATAACAGCCTTGTATAAGGAAGTTAACACAGGCTGCAAGATGTATTAGCTATATTAGCCTAATATCTAAATGACAAAGTAAAGGCTACAAATACATAATAATCATTCATGATTATCAAATGTGTATTTTCACTGCAGCGTGTCGCACCACGCGTGTCGTGAATGACGCAACATGGGACAACTCTGCTTTAGCTTAACTTCCATTTTTTTGCCTTCATGCAATTGTAGAAATACAGTAAATAAATCTGCTTTGGGCTCAGAGGTCACACACCTGCATCACTGTCTGCTCATATCCATCACGTCACAGGCTGAAGTTTGCTGGAGCTGGATTAAAATCCTTAATGGCCTTTTCTTTCACCGTCTTTGAGAAGGTTTTGAAGTCTGAAAATAGGTGCTCTGAATTTTTGATGAATGAATCCTTCACGTAATCACCGTTTACGTTGTTTTGCGCGTCATTGTTCCTCGTGTTGCAACAAAACTTTTCATTACAAACATGAAGCAGTCCTTCCTCATTGACTGAAAGAAAATGTTCATTCTCATTCTTAGTCCAGTCTTGTTATCGACTCTTTCTCGTTTTAGCTTTGGGATCCATGTGCACTAAAGTCTATGATGCACACACGCCGGTTTGTTTACAGCAGCGGCCGCATGGGGGATATGACGCACTACGTTGACAGAAATGTTGAAATTAGATATTACTTATACATATTTTTACAGCATTTAAAAACATAAAGATTGTTTTCCTTCTACAGAAACCACATTCAAACTGGAAATAAAATATAGCCCTCACACTCCATTTTCAGACATTTTTGAAAAGGCTCCGGAGCCGCGGGTTGCCGACCCCTGGTATAGATATTTTGCAAGACTCTTTCTGTTTCATGTCTTGATGAAACTAAAGAAAAGTTAGTCCCTGTTCTTTTGCGGGGTTATGTGTTCTAAAAATAACCTGCAATAAGAAAAAAATAAAGTTATAGTCCTGGCAAGTACGGTGGTATTAAAGTAGTTAGATAAGTAGATAAGACTGACTTTATCGATCTCACAATGAAGAAATTTACAAACTTACGAACATAACCAGTGTAATTTCCGCGTACACGTTTGAATTACGAGTACTGTAATCTGATTCCTCGATAGCCGCTATAAGAGTGGTATTTGGGAGTGCATGATCCCCCCCCCCCTCTTTCTTGCATGAGGCCCAGTGTATCTGCGGCGGCCCCAGCCTCAGACAGCGCTCTCTGGTTTGGCACATGGTACTTTTGGGCCTTCTCACTGTTTCCTATTGAACGGAGTCCCACATAAACACACGGGCTCCCGGCGGCTTCTTATTTAGTTGTCGGTCAAGAGTACTTAATAATATTCAGAAAGACAGTGCGACACATCATTCTCGTCTGGCCAGAACTCCACGCGATCATTTCCCCCCTTTTTTTCTTTTTCCCGCACTTCCCGTCTCAGTGAGAAGGACCAGATGCACGGCAGCGGGGAAGTTCTAGAAATAGACGAGGAATTCTGCAGATCCGGAGACGTACGGTACGACCACGGATCTGAGGCACCATCGATTCTTCCGGATTTTGGAGCATAGAGAGATAGATAGATACTTTATTGATCCCCGTCAGAGGTGGAGTAGTGTCTGGGTGGAGCAGGACAGGTCACAGCAGCAGAGGTGGAGTAGCCTTTGGGTGGAGCAGGACGGGTCACAGCAGCAGAGGTGGAGTAGCCTTTGGGTGGAGCAGGACGGGTCACAGCAGCAGAGGTGGAGTAGCCTCTAGGTGGAGCAGGACGGGTCACAGCAGCAGAGGTGGAGTAGTCTCTGGGTGGAGCAGGACGGGTCACACCAGCAGAGGTGGAGTAGTCTCTGGGTGGAGCAGGACAGGTCACAGCGACAGAGGTGGAGTAGTCTCTGGGTGGAGCAGGACGGGTCACAGCAGCAGAGATGGAGTAGTCTTTGGGTGGAGCAGGACAGGTCACAGCAGCAGAGGTGGAGTAGCTTCTGGGTGGAGTAGGACGGGTCACATAGTGGAGTCACCGTCAGGAGCAGTGGTTGCCGTAGCAACAGCGTCTGGGAACCCATCTCCAGATGTTGATGCTCGGCTTGGTCAGTACCGGAGCTGGAGGATTTTCCCTATTGTGCATGTTTTTAGTGGTAGGGTAAACCGGAGGAAACAGAAGCAGACACGGGGAGAACATGCAAACTCCACTTAAAAAGACCCTGTTCCGACCGGGATTCAAACCCAGGACCTTCTTGCTGAGAGGCGAGGTATAAATCACAAACATTAAAATCTGCAAAAACATGAATCCCACAGGACGTTAAAACAAACATTTAGATCTCAATAACTATTAAGAACATAAGAAATAAAAAGAAAACCGTTAAAACATTAAAATCACAGATGGGATTAGAACCATACTTAGTGCATTAGAGTCAAGATAAAATACATCAGTCGTAAGCAGAGCTACACTGAACTGTTTTTAACCTGGATTTGAAAACTGCCAACGAAAACATTTATGGACGTGGGTGTGAGCTTGAGAAACGAGCTACAGCATGACTATCGGTGAAGCTGAAGTTGGCTGGATGACACTGGCAGAATCAGAATCATGTAAGTAACAGGACATGGCTTTGGCTCAGTAGAGACGCCGAAGTAGGCAGAGAACAGAGTAAAACTGTTAAATGAGCCTAGTATCTCTGTTTCGTCAGCCGGCCGCGGACACAGACCCGGAGGACCGCATTTGACCCGCGGGCCTCGATTTGGACCCGGCTGGTTTAATGAAACTCCAAACAAGGACAAACAGGACCTTCTTTTACAGGCAGACTTCAAATACAGCGTTGTCTTTTAAGTCCTGGCCCGGCCGCGTCGACTCTCGTTATTCCTCGAATCCATCTGGAATTTTGAGGGTCTTGTTTTGAAAGAAAAAAATCCCGAAAACCGCAGAAGAGTCATGTCTTCAAACAACGGTCCTGTGGTGGAGTCTGCTCGCCACGGTCAACAACAGCCTCCGGGACTCGCTCATGTCTCATCAGGGCTGGTCCCGAGGTCTGAAGTCACTTTGTCAGACGCAAAAACTATTGATGTTTTATTTGATGATTTCGCAAAATGTTTTTAATAGTTTCATCTCAGGCTCATAAAAAATATATTTATACATAAAGGTGAGAGTCTGAGACCGGCCTTTTCTGTGACTGCAGAGATGTAATGTTATTCACTACAGACAAACACTGGTCTCTCTCTCCGGTCTCTCTCTGATCTCTCTCTGGTCTCTTTGGTCTCTCTCTGGTCTCTCTCTGGCTTCTCTCTGGTCTCTCTCTCTGGTCTCTCTCTCTGGTCTCTCTCTGATCTCTCTCTGGTCTCTTTGGTCTCTCTCTGGTCTCTCTCTGATCTCTCTCTGGTCTCTTTGGTCTCTCTCTGGTCTCTCTCTGGCTTCTCTCTGGTCTCTCTCTCTGGTCTTTCTCTCTGGTCTTTCTCTCTGGTCTCTCTCTGATCTCTCTCTCTGGTCTCTCTCTCTTTGGTCTCTCTCTCTGGTCTCTCTTTGGTCTCTCTCTCTAGTCTCTCTCTGATCTCTCTCTGGTCTCTCTCTGGTCCCTCTCTCTGATCTCTCTCTGGACTCTCTTTGGTCTCTCTCTGGTCTCTCTCTGGTTTCTCTCTGGGTTCTCTCTCTGGTCACTCTCTGGTTTCTCTCTCTGGTCTCTCTCTCTGGTCCCTCTCTGGTTTCTCTCTGGTCTCTCTCTTTGGTCTCTCTCTCTGGTCTCTCTCTTTGGTCTCTCTCTCTGGTCTCTCTCTGGTCCCTCTCTCGGATCTCTCTCTGGCCTCTCTTTGGTCTCTCTCTGGTTTCTCTCTCTGGTCTCTCTCTCTGGTCTCTCTCTGGTCTCTCTCTGGTTTCTCTCTCTGGTCTCACTCTTTGGTCTCTCTCTGGTCTCTCTCTTTGGTCTCTCTCTTTGGTCTCTCTCTGGTCTCTCAGACAGTTTATATCTATTGCACAGCTCCTACTCAATGTGCGAAACAAGACCAGACAGAAACGACATTCAAATTAAAAATAATAACTGTAGGTCAATGTCAATGTCAAGTAGATCTGGGAACTTAAAGGAGCAACTGGGAAGATGACCTCGTAGTTCTTTTGCCTAGCGTACATCGGACTGGCAACTGATGATATCCGTCGCATATGAGTTGCTGCTGCCCCGCACACATCGACAATCTGGTGAAAACGGGCAACTCCTGTATCAGTCCAGTCTGGGAATAACAGCGCGTACATCCACAGCAACTGGCCTCAACTACAGTGTGTTTTCTGACATAAACTGTAGAGAGCGCAATACACACATGTTGTTGGAGCGCGCACATCAGGTGATATCTCCGGATCTGAGGACGACTAGTTGCCGAAAAGTAGAACACGGGCAACTGACTGAATCCAGAGATCGACTGTTTATCTCCAGTTGTAAGAGCGCTCACATCGACCGATCTCGGCAACTTCTCCATCATCTACTCTCAGTCGCCAAAAGCCGCCTTGCAACTAGTTGTCTCCGGTTACTCTGTCCATGCACGGTAGGCTTTACAGAATCCTGAACACACAACAGTTCATTCAAATACAACGGGGCCCATGAAGACATTTAAAAACAAGCATTTTAAACTGAATCCGGTTTGTGACAGGAAGCCAGTGCAGTGACGCCAGTGCAGTGACGCCAGTGCAGTGACGCCAGTGCAGTGACGCCAGTGCAGTGACACCAGTGCAGTGACGCCAGTGCAGTGACACCAGTGCAGTGCCAGTGCAGTGACACCAGTGTAGTGCCAGTGCAGTGCCAGTGCAGTGCCAGTGCAGTGACACCAGTGCAGTGACACCAGTGCAGTGCCAGTGCAGTGCCAGTGCCAGTGCAGTGCCAGTGCAGAGCCAGTGCAGTGCCAGTGCAGTGCCAGTGCAGTGCCAGTGCAGTGCCAGTGCAGTGACACCAGTGCAGTGACACCAGTGTAGTGCCAGTGCAGAGCCAGTGCAGTGCCAGTGCAGTGCCAGTGCAGTGACACCAGTGCAGTGACGCCAGTGCAGTGCCAGTGCAGAGCCAGTGCAGTGCCAGTGCAGTGCCAGTGCAGTGACACCAGTGCAGTGACACCAGTGTAGTGCCAGTGCAGTGACGCCAGTGCAGTGACGCCAGTGCAGTGACGCCAGTGCAGTGACGCCAGTGCAGTGACGCCAGTGACACCAGTGCAGTGACGCCAGTGCAGTGACGCCAGTGCAGTGACGCCAGTGCAGTGACGCCAGTGCAGTGACGCCAGTGCAGTGACGCCAGTGCAGTGACGCCAGTGCAGTGACACCAGTGCAGTGACGCCAGTGCAGTGACGCCAGTGACACCAGTGCAGTGACGCCAATGCAGTGACGCCAGTGCAGTGATGCCAGTGCAGTGACGCCAGTGCAGTGACGCCAATGCAGTGACGCCAGTGCAGTGATGCCAGTGCAGTGACGCCAGTGCAGTGACGCCAGTGCAGTGACGCCAGTGCAGTGACGCCAGTGCAGTGACGCCAGTGCAGTGACGCCAGTGCAGTGACGCCAGTGCAGTGACGCCAGTGCAGGGGTTATGTGTTGAAAGTACGTTCAATATAGTGATGGTACAGTCCTTCAGTTGTGGCAGCGGAAGAGAACTGCTTTTAACCTTTTAGAGAAGAAGCCTGTCTCACATTTTCTGGAAGATTGTTTCAGATTTTAGCTGCATGAATCTGAAACACTGCCTCCCCATGTTTAATCCTGACTCTGGGACCAGCAGGAGGTCAGTCCCTGTGCTCCTCAGAGTCCCAGCAGGAGGCCAGTCCCTGTGCTCCTCAGAGTCGCAGAGACTATTGTGACGGTACTTCCTGGTTCTAGTCCGGTCCGGAGCTGCAGCGTTTCGAACTCACTGCAGTTGCTCGTTTGGAGAAACCAGTGTCAGCAGCTCCAGAGTCACCGACTGGAGACGTTTGTATTTTTGATTTGTGATGTCAATCGTCATGTCAAAAACAAGTCAGAAAACAAAATGTGTTTTTAGTTTCTAGCGGCCACTAGAGGGAGTCAGAGTGGGTCATGATCAGGTTATGACGGGGTTATGTTGTGGTACGGGAGCAGAGGCAGCGGGAAGCATACAGGAGAAGAACAACTTGTTTTATAAAATATTCTTGTGTTTATAAAATAGTCAAGTACCAAAAGTAATGCGTAACAGTTAAAATCAAAAAAGTTAAAGAAAATAAAAAAGCAGAAATTAAAACACATGAAAATGTATGTAAACAAAAGCAGTTTGTATTTATATTCATGGGAACGTTACTAATTAATGAAAGTACTGCGATACTGCAAAGTACTCACAAGTATGAAAGTTTAAACAATTAAAAGATCAAACAAATTCAAAACATAAAACTAATAAATAAGGTACAAAGTCAAGTTTATGCAGTGACTCAATGATATTAAAAGCAGAACCTGTAAATATCGGTTCAGACGGATGGAAAATGTGAGAATAATAGATCAAAGAACTACTCAAGAGACAATTCCTTTCAAATATAGTTGATTTTGCAAACAAACTATTCACTTTTCAATGTATTTATGTTTTATACAATTTTTACTTTTTATTGGGAAAAAAATTGTACAATTGTTTTTTTTTTAAATTTTACAATCAAACTTACGTAGTACAGAAATAACGCAGTACAGAAGAAAAACATAAAACATTGTGTGTGTGTGTGTGTGCGTGCGTGTATGTCTATAAGGGGGGTGTCACTGCAGCACGCGCGTGGCCCAGAGAGAGACCCTCCCCTCTGGCTCCCATTCCCCCCTCTCTGGAGCAGGAGGAGGAGGAGGAGGAGGAGGCAGAGCTGCTACCTGCTCACTCACCTGCTTCTACCGCGCTGCTCTGAGATGTCTCCCAGACCAAAACACGCCGCGCACTCGCACACGCACCCGCACACGCACCCGCACACGCACACGCACAGGGCCATGACGTCTTCGGGAGAGTTCCACCTGCTGCCGACAACGCACCATCTCTGAAGCGTCTCCCCTGAACGCGCACTCTGCCTCGCCTGCCCTGCCTTGCCTTGCCTCGCCTGCCTTGCCTGCCCCCTCTCTCTCTGGTATCATCATGGACTTGGCACGGGAGAGCACGGACCGGAGGACGGACGGCTCGGAACCCATACGTGGTGCGCGCGTTTGGAAAGGTTAAAGGAGACCGCCACATTCACAGTGCATGGTCTCAGGGGGACTTTCGATCATGCACAGACCCCTCCGGAGGCGCGGTGTCTATGTGTTCCTGTGTTTTGGTGTGTTATACCTCAAACTCGGGTGAGTCGTTACGCACACGCATTTACGCATGTACGCATGCAGACGTTCTGCGACATGTATGGATCTATACTAAAGGTGTATAGGAGGATTATCTAGACTATTGGTCCTCTCAAGTGTCAATCATTCTGGTGATACGTGCTCGTCAAATAAGACCAGAGAGTTTTGTTGAAAAAGTGGAGAGGGCGGTTCTTTGCTAAAATGTGGTAAAATTGATATAGGAGGATTTTCCCATATTTTAGACTTAGACAGTTTTTATTGATCCACAAGGGAAGTTGCGTTGTCATGGTACCTTGCATAGTATCCCATAATAAAAATAAGAATAAACTCGCAATCTGAAAATAAGAATGAGATAATATTGTGAGAATAGTACAATCTGGAACAACCGAATTTTAGGACAGAACCTTTTAGAGGCATATCTGAGGATTTTTCCACGTTTTTATTTTTTAATTGATTTTTTTAACTTTATGTATACAATTTATACAATACAATAAACAACAAAAATATGCGGAGAGAAAGAACCACCCTCTCCACTTTTTGAACCAACCTCTCTGGTCTTATTTCACCAGAATGATTGAGGACCAATCGTCATGAAGATCCACCCGGAAGTAGAACATCCTCCTGTATACCTTTAACATTATGGACATTGGTCATCTGCCCCTTTCGGACCAATATTATGGCTGTGTATGTGTATTCATATTTGTACTGCATTTTCTGTACTTGAAGCGTTTGATTTTCTGATCTGTTGTTGATATTACCGGCCTGAGATATTGCCGTGTGTGTAGCTAATCCACACAGGCCTGTAGGTGCAGTGCAGTGGGGGGACCTGGTATATACGTTCAATAATATCTGCTGTCGATAAGAAAGCTGTCTTCCCAAAACAAAAGCGCGTTTGAGCCGCAGTAGCAGCTCCAAACGCACCGCATTCCTTCATTGATAGTGGCACAGTGAGTTGTATTTCCACATTCCTGGCCACACAAACTTTTTACCTGTTTTGCAATCGGCCTATGTACCCTCACCTGTACGCACAAGCAGCATATCTCACCACACTGCATTTGGAACTAAGTGATTGTGTGTGTGTGTGTGTGTGTGTGTGTGTTTTGTAGAGGTCTGACATGTTTAGCGAGCGAACAGTCGTGTGTGTTGCTGGTTCACAAGTACCTATGGAATTAGGCCCCAGGCGGTGAGCAGGGACTGGGTGAATGTCCTGCTCACAGCCGCACAGACTTAAGGAAAGAGTTTTAACCAAATACAAAGTCCGTGTTCGTCGTTTGACCATTATTTGATTGTGTTTGTTGACGAATAAAAATGCGTTGGTTTAATATAGCACATTTTTGGACACTTTGAATGCTTTTGAGCGTTTCTAAGGTCATTATTCTTTCACTCCAAACACGGTGGTGATAAACTACTGTGGCCATAGCTGCCCTGGGGCACGCTGACAGAAGCACGGCAACCGGTATGTGCCATTAGCCCCTCCCACAACCACCAACCATTCCCACACACACCAGACTCATTTTATGCAATGGGGGTGAAGTGTCTTGCCAAGGACACAACCCCAGTTTGTTACTTTACAGCCACAGCTGTCCCACTGTGTCACCTGGTGTTCCCAGAGGTCTCTCATCACAGTAGTAACCAGGCCCTGCCCTGCTTATCTTCAGAGGTCACAGTAAAGACCACTTATAGACACATTTACACATGTGGCAATACCTGTCAGGCCTCTAAAGCTAAGAAGGGCAGGGCCTGGTTAGGACTGTGATGAGTGCACATACACATGTTATAGGTACACATACACATGTTACATACACATACACATGTTATAGGTACACATACACATGTTATATGTACACATACACATGTTATATACACATACACATGTTATAGGTACACATACACATGTTACATACACATACACATGTTATAGGTACACATACACATGTTATATGTACACATACACATGTTATATACACATACACATGTTATAGGTACACATACACATGTTATATACACATACACATGTTATATACACATACACATGTTATATGTACACATACACATGTTATATACAAATACACATGTTATATACACATACACATGTTATAGGTACACATACACATGTTATAGGTACATATACACATGTTATAGGTACACATACACATGTTACAGGTACGCATACACATGTTACATACATATACACATGTTATAGGTACACATACACATGTTACATACATATACACATGTTATAGGTACACATACACATGAAATAGGCACACGTACACATGTTTTATACACATACGCATCTTATTTACATAAACATGTGTTTAGAGACACCTGTACACATGATATAGACACATTCACAGCGGTGTGGTGGGTATGGTTTTACGCACAAACGTGGGGAGGGGGCGTGAGCTGCAGAGGTTTCGTGGGGGAGTGCAGAGGGCTCGTGGGGTAGTGCAGAGGGCTCGTGGGGGAGTGCACTGGGGCTCGTGGATCAGTGTCACCCTCTTGTACCGCTGCGGTCCGGTGGGCGGGTAGTTGCGCCTCTGTCCAATGGCCGCGTCTCTCCCGAGAGCCGCGCGCGGCACTTGTGCGCTGCGCACGAGTCCTGGAAGCATCATTCTCATCCTCCGGATCTGCGGCTCAGACTCAGACTCAGACCCAGATCCAGGCTCAGACTCGGACTCTCTCTCAGACCCAGACTCTCTCTCAGACTCGGAATCTCTCTCAGATTCGGACTCTGTCTCAGACCCCAGACTCTCTCTCAGACCCAGACTCTCTCTCAGACCCAGACTCTCTCTCAGACTCGGAATCTCTCTCAGACCCAGACTCTCTCTCAGACCCAGACTCTCAAAGACCTAGACTCTCAGAATGACCCAGCGGAGGTCTCGCTGCTGCCTTGGAGCCCACACAGACGAGCTGCGCGCTCCCCGCGTCTCTTCGTGAATGAGCTCAAACGGAGCCGCAGCCCGGGATTACCAGAGCCGTCCGTGGTCCATGGTCCATGTCATCATGATCCTCTTCTCGTGGCGCAGTGTGCTGCTGTCGGTCTATTACCCGCAGATCTTCCTCATCCTGACCAGCGGCAGTTACCTGTAAGTCTCCAGCTCTCCTCACTCTGTCTGCGTTGTGACAAATACACGTGTGTTTTTAGTTTGGACTCATTCTTCTGCCAAAGAAAAACTCTGTTATTGATCCTGTGGACGTTGTTTTATTCATAATTCTGCTTCAGATGCAGTGAGTTTATCCTCGGGCTCCGTTTGGCCACAGAGCGGCAGAGATGTTCTCTCTGCAGCTCAGCTTCTCCTCAATCTTTACTCTGCACTCTTCTTTACTCTCTACTCTCTACTCTCTACTCTTTTCTCTTTTCTCTTTTCTCTTTACTCTTCACTGGAGAGAAATGTGTGGACGCTTCATAGTTATACAAAAAACAAGGACTTCTCCTTAAATGTTCCAGTTTCCCAAAGACAGGGCCGTGTACCGCGGAGAGCCCGGACTCTGACTCTGAGGCTGAAGTGTGGTTTTGGTGAAGTCTGTTCTGATCACAACTTTATACAACTATAACTACAGATGATTATGATGTTATAAGAGTAACTAACACTGAGCAGAGGCTGTAAAGTGTCCTGCTGCAGCTGATGCTTTGGCAAACAGCTCAGAGGAAACTATTTAACACTTAATTTCGTGACCTCAGAAAAATCAGAGCTTTAATTCACTTGACAGAAAATCTTCCCTCGGTATTTTTCCTCCTGAGAGCATTCCACATGTGTCAGGCTTCAAAGGCTGTGGGTGAGAGGGGCTGCTGAGGATGATATACATCCTATATATATATATACTGTATATATATACTGTATATATATAAAATAAAAAAAAATTGTCCACTCACCTTTGGCCCTCCGCGGGCGGTTATCCCTCTCTAAGCTCGGGTCCTCTACCAGAGGCCAGGGAGCTTGAGGGTTCTGCGCAGTATCTTTGCTGTTCCTAGCACTGCACATTTCTGGACCCAGATGTCCGAGGTTGTTCCGGGGATCCGCTGTAACCACTCATCTAGCTTCGGGGTCACTGCCCCGAGTGCACCGATCACCACGGGCACTACTGTCACCTTTACCCTCCAGGCCCTCTCCAGCTCCTCTCTGAGACCTTGGTATTTCTCAAGCTTTTCATGTTCTTTTTTCCGGATGTTACCATCGCTTGGAATTGCCACGTCCACCACCACGGCTGTCCTCTGCCCTTTGTCTACCACCACGATGTCAGGTTGGTTCGCCATTACCATTCGGTCGGTCTGTATCTGGAAGTCCCACAGGATCTTCGCACGCTCATTTTCCACCACCTTTGGAGGAGTTTCCCACTTAGACCTTGGGGTTTCCAGCCCATACTCTCCACAGATGTTTCTGTACACTATGCCAGCCACTTGGTTATGGCGTTCCATGTAGGCCTTCCCTGCCAGCATCTTGCACCCTGCAGTTATGTGTTGGATCGTCTCAGGTGCCTCTTTGCACAACCGACACCTTGGGTCTTGTCTGGTGTGGTATATCTGGGCCTCTATCGCTCTGGTGCTCAGTGCCTGTTCCTGTGCAGCCATGATGAGTGCCTCTGTGCTGTCCTGTAGGCCAGCCCTTTCTAGCCATTGGTAGGACTTCTTGAGATCAGCCACTTCTGTTATGCTCCGGTGGTACATGCCGTGTAGGGGCTTGTTCTCCCATGATGGGCTCTCCTCCAGCACCTCCTCATCTCGCCACTGCCTGAGACATTCACTGAGTACGTCATCCGTTTTGGCCTTCTCCATGATGTAGTTATGGAGTTTGGATGTTTCGTCCTGGACAGTGGCTCTCACACTCACTAGTCCTCGGCCTCCTTCTTTACGGCTTACGTACAGTCTCAGGGTGCTGGATTTGGGATGGAACCCGCCATGCATGGTAAGGAGCTTTCGAGTTTTAACATCCGTGGTCTGAATCTCTTCCTTTGGCCACCTGATTATTCCTGCAGGGTATCTGATCACTGGCAGGGCGTAGCTGTTAATTGCCCGGGCCTTGTTCTTGCCATTGATATATATATATATATATATTGCCATATATATATATATATATATATATATATATGTTTGTATGTATGTATGTGACTCTATACTGTCTGAGTCGATGAACCACACATGCTAATATCAGTGTGAGTGTAGCACAGTTGTTGCAGATCAACAGAACTGTTTTTAACCTGGATTTGAACATTGTCTGAGAAAAAGCCTGTCTCACATTTTCAGGAAGACTCATCTAGATTTTAGCATGAATCTGAAACGCTGCCTCCTCATGTTTAGTCCTGACTCTGGGACCAGCAGGAGGCCAGTCCCTGTGCTCCTCAGAGTCAGATACTAATGTCACAGATGTAGTTGTAGGGCGGCACGGTGGCTGAGTGGATAGCACTCTCGCCTCTCAGCAAGAAGGTCCTGGGTTCGAATCCCGGCCGGACCAGGGCCTTTCTGAGTGGAGTTTGCATGTTCTCCCCGTGTCTGCGTAGGTTTCCTCCGGGTACTCCGGTTTCCCCTACCACTAAAAATATGTACAATAGGTCTGGCATGCGCCTCCTGTTCGGCGACCCCGCTCCCATCTCTGTGTGGAGTGAGAGACAAGTGCCCAAAAAATAATAACAATTGTGACCCTTGTCTGTGAAAGACGGTATATAAATAAACATTACTTACTACTACTTACTAGTTGGTGCAGAGCTGCGTCAAAGTCTCTTCTCTCCAGTTCAGACTCTCTCTGGTCCCTGAGACCATGTGCAGAACCAGAACCAGAGAGACACAAAAGCACCATAACAAAACAATGTGAAATATGTTCACCTCAGCAGCAGCAGCAGTAGTAGCAGCAGCAGCAGTAACAGCAGCAGCAGTAACAGCAGCAGCAGCAGCAGTAGCAGTAGCAGCAGCAGTAGCAGTAGCAGCAGCAGTTGCAGTAACAGCAGCAGTAGCAGTAGCAGCAGCAGTTGCAGTAACAGCAGCAGCAGCAGTAGCAGCAGCAGCAGCAGTAGCAGTAGCAGCAGCAGCAGTAGCAGCAGCAGCAGTTGCAGCAGTAGCAGCAGTAGCAGAAGCAGCAGCAGCAGTAGCAGCAGCAGCAGTACATGAGTCACTGCTGTGTGGACTTCCTTCATGTCCGAACAGTTCCTTTCTCTCTGAGATGTTCTTGCGTTGCCATTGGCGACGGTCCTCTGTGATGTCACAGGGTCAGAGGAGTTCACGCCTGGTTACCTCTGACAACTGTTGTTTACTGCTGCCCCTGAATGCACCTGATTCAGTACACTACTCTACTTTACCCTACTCTACTCTACTCTACTCTGGTCTACTCTACTCTACTCTACTCTATTCTGGTCTACTCTACTCTACTCTACTCTACTCTACTCTACTCTGGTCTACCCTACTCTACTCTACTCTGGTCTACTCTACTCTACTCTACTCTGGTCTACTCTACTCTACTCTACTCTACTCTACTCTGGTCTACTCTACTCTACTCTACTCTACTCTACTCTGGTCTACTCTACTCTACTCTACTCTACTCTGGTCTACTCTACTCTGGTCTACTCTACTCTACCCTACTCTACTCTACTCTACTCTACTCTGGTCTACTCTACTCTACTCTGGTCTACTCTACTCTACTCTACTAAGTAAGTAAGTAAGTAAGTAAGTAAGCTTTATTTATATACCGCCTTTCACAGACCAGAGTCACAAAGCGGTTTACAATTGTTATTTTTTGGGCACTTGTCCTCTCACTCCACACAGAGATGGGGGGTCGCCGAACAGGAGGCGCATGCCAGACCTATTACTCATGGTCTACTCTACTCTACTCTACTCTACTCTACTCTGGTCTACTCTACTCTACTCTACTCTGGTCTGGTCTGCTGTACTCTACTCTACTGTACTCTACTCTACACTTCTCTGCTCTATGGTTGTGTTTCCATGATGCTTTAGTATCTGGTACCGTACGCTAGAAAACTACTCACAACAAACCAGTATACGGAAGTAATTCCTTGGTTACCATGGCAGCACTCTGGCCAATCACTGTTGGCCTTATTTATTTATTTATCGTTTCTGTTATTTATAATTAATGTCAACATATCAATAATATGCCTAATTATGCTAAATATAGTGATTTTAAGCTTTTAATCTTTTAAGAATGTTTCCTTGTCAATATTCAATTCAATTCAGTTTATTTGTGTGTTTCCCTAAATCACAGCAGCCGTCGTCTCGGAGGACTTTACAAAGTGGTCGATTCAACAACAACAGATCAGAGAACCAAACAATTCAAACACAGGAAATTCAATAAGAACACATTTGTCCAAATGGAGCGGACTGAGGCTGTAGATCCAGGACTGAGGCTGTAGACCCAGGACTGAGGCTGTAGACCCAGGGCTGAGGCGGTAGACCCAGGACTGAGGCGGTAGACCCAGGGCTGAGGCGGTAAATCCAGGGCTGAGGCGGTAGACCCAGGGCTGAGGCGGTAGACCCAGGGCTGAGGCTGTAGACCCAGGGCTGAGGCGGTAGACCCAGGGCTGAGGCGGTAGACCCAGGGCTGAGGGGGTAGACCCAGGGCTGAGGCTGTAGATCCAGGACTGAGGCTGTAGACCCAGGGCTGAGGCGGTAGACCCAGGGCTGAGGCGGTAGACCCAGGGCTGAGGCGGTAGATCCAGGGCTGAGGCGGTAGACCCAGGGCTGAGGCGGTAGACCCAGGGCTGAGGCGGTAGATCCAGGGCTGAGGCGGTAGACCCAGGACTGATGGTGCATTCAGACCGCAAACGCTCAAACAGTAGTTTTCAGACGCAGAGGACTTCACACCAGAACGTCCTGGTCAGCGCTGGAAGTGCCGGAAGTAGCCGGCCAGACAACTTTGCAGCGTGTCTGTGTTCAGAGACCTTCCACGGGCTTTATATAACAGTGGTATGTGTTCAAGGAGGTGCACCATATGTTTATTTTATTATTAAACGGTACTTCCGAATCGGCGAACACACTTGAAGCAGTTGCATAAAGTCACGGGAGCATGACAACGCATATTTTCACAAGCACAGAGTCCCCCATTGTCAACCCTGGTTTAGTCCTGGTTTAGTCCTGGTTTAGTCC